ACAAAAAAATCAAACCGAATAAAATATCAATAAAAAATTCGATTTCCTAACTCTTGGGCGCAACCCTGAAAATAATCGAAATGCAACACATGCACACGCACGCACGCATGCGCGTACGCACGCAATACTATGCCACACAAAATATGTGAATCCATCCACCCAACGATGCTGTCTATGATGCTTCCAATGCGACTGATTGATTGCTCGATCGATTGATTGACTGATTGATTGTGTGAAAAACCCTCTTCTAATCTGCTCTGCTCTGAAAACCGAAACAAACCGATCCGATCTGGTACTGGTACACTGCTTGATGGTGCAACGGGAAATACGAAAACAAAATGCAAAAACTGAATGCATATAAAAATACAATAATTATAATATTTAATATCATAATATCTATAAATGTCTAATGAAAATTCGTCGCCAATTCTTCTTCAACGTTCCTGCCTCTGACCGAAACATGAAAATATGTCAAATATGTTCCGAACAAACAAATATCACAAATCCGAATTCCATTTTTATCCACAAAAATGCCACACGCCCCACACTTGGCCGCCACACGCCAACGACTTCAACTGCACAAATATATATATCACAAATATATATATGTCGCGTAACATATCCCCGTCGACTGATTGACCGCTCTTGCCCCGCCGATCTGACCATGCCATCAAAAAAAAAATAATGTGCAAATTTATATACCATTTATATATAAACTATATATCTATGTATTTACTTGTAATACATCTTGTGCAACAATTTTCCCCCCCAAATATCTAAATTTGATTCTGTAAAATCACTATATAAATTACTCGTACAAAAAAACATTGTAAATGGCCCCAAAAATGCCATATTTGTTGTCTCATATATCTCTCGATACTCAAATACCGATGTTGAAATGAACTTTTGTGTCGCTTTCTTTTGTTTAAAATCAAAATCGAAATCAAAAACAAAAACAAACAAAAAACCAACCGATATTATTCTCATATGCCCCGTGCAATTTGTTGGATGAAATGACATGATGTATTGTGAAAATGTTAAATCCTTTATGATGATGATAAAATGATACACACTATATACATATATAAAGATGGTCAGTCGCGGCGGCGGTGCTGGCAATCGTCTCAACAATCGTCGTGGCCAGGGAGGCTTCCAGAATCGTGGCGCCACTGGTGGTGGCAGTGGTGGTCCCAAGCCCCCGCAAAAGCAGGGCGGCGGCGGTATTCGCAAGCAAAATGCTTTTGATCGTGCCAAGAAACTTTTGGCCAAAAATGCCAACCAAAATAAAAAGAAGGAACCTACTCCTGGCGAAAAGAAAATCGAGAGGTAAGACTAACTACAAACAAACTTTTCCAAACAAAAAAAAAAAAAAAAAAAAAAACCAAAAACAAAAATCTACCAACAGAAACAATTTTTTATACCCACCAAAATCGAGAGAATTAATTCTTTCACCAAATGAAAAACAAAATATATGAGTGTTATTTACATAAATAGATAAGTACTTAGGAATTCGAATTTCCAATCTTCAAAAATTGCGTTCCCTCATATGTGTACATCTCTATAATATATAGATCTAGAAATTGTTGTTCAGAAGGGATCCCTCCTACTTATCCCTTTTGTTGATGCTCTCTATCTCTCTTTACATTAGTGCAAGCGATTCAATGTGTCTGTATGTGTGTGCTTTGTACGGGTGTACCTTTATGGGGGGCGGGGATTGGGGGGACAGGGGAATGCGTAAAAATCTATAATATATTTATTACACATTTCTTACATATACATACATAGCCATATATCTATCTACTTAATGTTAATTTTTACGTAGTATTATTTTTATAAAAGTTAAACCTTAAGGTTGGGCTAAGTACCTGTGCCTGTGTGTTCATGTACAGTTTGAAACTCATTTCTGGGAATCGATACGAAGTCAAAGAGATAGATTATTAATATAAGAATCGGAATGAGGATTATTCTTTCATTGGGAGAACAAAAATGAATATGAAGATTCCTTATCACTCCAATCAATCCACATCTGTATAGTATATTCCTCCATCATTCTCAAAACTCAGATAAATTGCATGCGCCATCCATAATGCTTAAGGCAGAGAATCTTCATATACCACTTAATCTACTCAGTCTTAAATAATTTTAAAGAACGAACGTCAGTGCAATAGTTTTTAGTGTACTTTCAGCCAAAGCGATAACCAATTAAAAATGTTCCAAATTTATTGCAAAGAATATAATTTCTGCAACCAGTAAAAACTCTTTGACTTCGTAGCATCTCTCTTTATGTGTAGAAAATCATACTTTTTATGAGCTAAAATAATTTAAGTAATTAATTAATTTTACTATTCGTGAAACGAGAAATATGCCATGAAAGTTGAACACATCGAACTCTTTCCAATTACAAATAATATATTTAAAAAAATCTAAAGGTTCCTCAATACCAAACTTAAACTGTAAATCAGCAGTGGGGGCTCGTCCTTACTGCCAATTGCTCACACGGCATGGCTCCGGGATTTTTTCGTGGAAAACCCACCCACACCACACCACACCACTCCATCCAGACGCATAAGCGAAAAACACATGACGAGGCATTTGCCTGTTCGACTCGAGACTGGGACCAAGGCAAGGCTTGGTGCCACGAATCTAAAGACAAACAATATACATGTCGTGTGCATGAAGAGGCAAATTGATGCTCGACTCGAGTTTCGCCTGTATTATAAAACTTGAACTTAAAAGGCTGCCAACTCTTGTGGCATATTTCTCTGTTGATGTTCCATCAAAATTCACTTTCATAACGTACTCCCTCATCATCAAATCAAATCACCAGAAATTGATGTTGATCTGTGTATTTTATATAAAAATATATACTTATATATATACATAAATGTGTAAACCATCTGTTGTGGCCGCCTGCCTGTGCTGTGCTCCTACGTATCATAAGTATAATTTCAGCGGGAAGAGCTCTCTCCCTCTTCTGTCTCTCCCATTTCCATTTCCTTTAATCTTGTATTCTCTTCCCTAGAGCCAGACGAGACCTCAACATCCGTCCATTCCCCCCTCCCCATCCCATTGATTCGCCAGAGCTCATACTAATGAAGTTTCTTTTCTTTTTATTTATCCAATGACCCGACCCGTCCGTCTCCATATGTGTAGCCCCAGCAAGGACTCGCCGTATGCCAGCGTGCCGAATGACATGTTCTACTGTCATCTGTGCAAGAAGCACATGTGGGACGCCAACTCTTTTGAGAATCACATCAAGGGACGCACCCATCTGATGATGCGCGAGGGCATTGAGGAGAGCTACCGCCTGAAGGCGAACATGATCCGACAGGAGGCCAAGATCGCCGAGCAGCTCAAGTCGATTGAGTTCGATCGCCTGAAGCGCATGGGCAAGAGCAAGCAGCGCCAACTGGACTACTGCACCATGTGCGATTTGAACTTCCACGGCCATATATCGACGCACCGCAAGTCGGAGGGACATCTGCAGCTGAAGAAGTTCCTGCACCCCAAGTGCATCGAGTGCAACAAGGAGTTCGCCACGCGCATCGATTTCGACACCCATCTGCTATCCGCCGAGCATCTGAAGAAGGCCGCCGAGAGCAACACCAAGGTGGGCGAGCGCAAGCGCCAGACCTTGCCAATCAGCACCGAGGAGGAGGAGACGCGTGATTTGCGTCTGCCCCAGAAGCGCAAGAAGAAGCCCGTGAAGAAGGAGGGTGAGGCCGAGATCAAGAAGGAGCCTGGTGCCGAGGGTGAGGCAGCCGAGGGAGAGGAGGCCGAGGGTGAAGAGCCCAAGGAAGGCGAGGAAGCCGCCGACGAGACCAAGGAGGGCGAGGAGCTCAACGAGGGCGAGGAGGAGGAAGAGGTCGCCCTGCCCGTCGATCCCGAGGATTGCATTGTCGACTTCCTTGACGGCGATGAGATCCCCAGCGAGGTGGACCTCCGTCTGCCCAAATACAACTGGCAGCGTGCCGTCGGCCCCGGCCTCATCTCGAAGCTGGAGTGCTTCGAATGCTCCGTCTGCAGCAAGTTCTTCGACACCGAGGTGACCGCCGAGATCCACTCTCGCACGGCCACCCATCACCGCAACTTCCTCAAGTTCATCAACGAGAAGTCGAGCGATACCAAAATCGCCCAGAAGCGCGCTGCCGCCGCCCTGGAGGAGAACGAGCGGAAGAAGATTAAGATCGAGGAGGCTGAGGCCCCCGCCGCCGAGGGCACCGCTGCCGAGGGGGAGACCACCGAGGGTGGTGAGGGCGAGCTGTACGATCCATCGGAGGCCACTGGCGATGATGAGGATTTCGAGATGGTCGATGCCACTGCCGAAGGCGCTGATGGAGAGGGAGAGGGTGATGCTGATGCTGATGGTGATGGTGATGAAGAGGGTGCCGAGGGCGAGGATGGTCAAGGCGAGGACAACGGCGAGGAGGAGATGGAGGCCCAGGAGGAAGAGGAGGCCAATGCCGAGCAGGAAGCCGAGCCAGAGCCGGCAGCTGCAACCCCTGCTCCAGCACCGGCCACGCCTGCCGTCAAGCCGGAGCCCGCCAAGACACCGGCCAAGGCTGCTGCTCCGGCCGTCGCTGCCGCAGCTGCTGCCACGCCTGCTTCACCTGCAGCCGCCGCAGGCACTCCAGACGCATCCCCATCGCCGGCCAAGAAGGCCACGCCCGCCCGGGCCGCTGCCGGACCCAAGGCAACGCCGCAGCGTCAGCGCGCCCGTGGTCGCTACAACCGCTACTAGGCGGAAAATATGATCGATAGCAAGACGAGCATCGGATCGGATCGAGGAGAGTTAAACATAATTTAACATAATCTTTATCTATATAGAAATAACCGGAAGGAAGCAGCGCAGACACTCCATCTCATGGACCGATCAACCCCATCATCGCTCCCCCTCCCCCCCTTCCACACACGCCCACGAACACACACGCCACGCTCCCTTTTGACATTTTCATGGCATTTTGCACAAACAAAAAATGAGAGAATGAGAGGAAAAAGCTAAGAATGAATGAATGAGGGAATGGGAATACTTTTCCAATCATCGAGAGAGATGAAACAATTGAAGACATTGTAATTGAAGACGAACTTCTTGTCGGGGGAGAAGACAGACAACTTGATTGATTGATTGATTGATTTTCGCATTAAATGAAGCTCATGCCCGCCCCCGACCGCGCGTCCCCGTCCCCGACCCTCTACAATGCATAAAACACAATCCAAGAAATCCATTCAAAATATGTAATCATATAAATTTTAAAATAAACAAAAAGAAAACAAACATAGCTGTAAAGTAAACACTTTTTGATTTGTATATTGCCTGGATAAGGTTAAGGGAATCAGAATAGAAGAATTATTCCATGATTTGTATTTATTTATTATTTGCACGCAGAAGTGGGTGGAAAGGGCCCACAATTGCAAGAGAATTGCAAAGCGTAAAGGATAGACTCGGAGTCGAGTAGTCTAGCTGATAAGGCATTGTTTTCTTTCTGCTGTTGCTGTTGGACTGCTCCCAAGTGATGCACGAAGCTATTCTGTAATCTGTTTTGCATCCCAACGTATCCGAATAATTTCCAAAGATTTCTAGAATAGACACTAGTATTATAAAAATGCAGACACGTAGTGCATACATACATACATATATGTATATAGAATGTACATATGTATTGTTGTTTAAATCGGTTTACTTCGATTCTTAGATTATGTGATGGGCTGAGCGCAGCGAAGGAGAGAAAGCCTTGATATGGTAATACTCGTACAAAGTAAGTTATATTATTTACAGCTTACACGACTAGAAGAGGGGCTGTGGGGATGCTGCGCGAGTTGTGGGGCAGGTCGAGGGTCGTGGGTTGAGTGAGTGACATACATATACAGTTAAGTTACAGTTGCAGTTGGGTGCAGGAGCTGGAGACTCAATTGAAGTTACAGTCGAGAGTATTCGCCTCCGTCATGGTGGTGCGCATCCGACTCTGATCGCTCTGGGAGCGACGCAGTCCGCCCTGTCGCCAGCCGCTGCGCCAGCGCTTGATGCAGCTCAGCAGGGACCAGTTGATCGACTTGGAGCGACTCAGCACATAGATATACGGATCCGATGTAAAGTGCAGGGCCGTGAGGACATCCGCAATGAGAAAGAATACGTTTTTCTTGTCCACTCGATTCGGGCCAATGGCCAGGGGTATGGCAATCTACATATGGAGAAGACGCAAACGTTTTAGCTCTGGAAATGTAAAATTAAACAAAGGTTGAACCACCCACCATCTGTGGCATCCAGCAGATGACGAACGAGATGCTCAGGAAGGCCATCAGCTTGGCAAACTTAATCTCCACCGGCGAGGATTCGGTGCCCGCCATCGTTACACTGACGCTGTGCTGGAACTGGCGCGCGGACTGCCGGTGGGGTGCAGTGTGGTGGCTGCCGCCGCTGCCCGTGCTGTACTGCGTTTGGTAGAGTGTGGTGCCACTGCTGCTCTCCGGGTCGATGCTCTGCACACTGGCCTTGTCCCGACCCACCAGGTCGTAGTGCATGTGCCGCTTGGCCGTGCGACTCTTACCAATCACGCAGAGCAGGGTGTGCGCCACGAACAGGTTGCAGGTCACGATCACGATGCACAGAAGGGTGCCTGAAGCAGGGGATTAGCAGGGAGCGATTAAGCGTAAAAGATTGCAATGTTACGTTACCAAAGACCATGAATAGCACGGCGTATGCTTTGTTCCAGAAGCCATCGGCATCACGATAGCGTATGCACTTCATCCTGTCCGGATTCGACTCGTCTATGTAGGCACCAAAGCCCACAAAGGGCAGGAACGTGATGATCAAGGCCGCAATCACAATGCTATTGATGCTCTTGCGGATCAGCTCATAGGTGATGTGCTATGGTAGGGAATTAATGGAGAATCGAATGCGAATCTAGTACTGAAATGGACTATCCTACCTTGTGGTAGATGAAGGGTCGGGCCAGGGCCATCCAACGTTCAGCGGCCATTACGGCGGCAATGCATCCGGAGCTGAGACCAAAGAAGCGCCACACCACATGCCCCACACAGTCCAGCCGCATGTCGGAGTGGTCCCCCTCCTTGTACATGTTGTACTTCAGCAGCGAAGTGGTCAGCACACCCAGCAGAGCCACCAGATTGTTGGTGGCCAGGCAGCTGAAACAGAGACGCATTTTGGGTGTTAGATTCAAGATAGTCAAAGACCTGTTGCATTTGCCATCAATTACCACTTTGATGAGACGGAAATCTTTCAAGCTCTGCCCCATATGGGAGCTGTACAATCGAACGCCAAACCTTTTCGGTTTCACCAGACGTGACGAGAGTCACAAGCAACGCTCGCTCAATGGACTCCCCAGCAGAGGGAAGTGTATAATCGGACAATTCATTTTGCATTAAATAACAATAAATTACGATTAATAAACATTATAGAGGAGAGGAACACCTCTCTTGAAAGGTACTTAAAAGAACGGCGTGTGCAAAGATCTCTTTGGAGATTTTATTGCTTCGAAAATATAAACGAAACTATTGTCTTTGCTTAAACCAATAAAAGTATATTATATTTGAGCGAAATGACAGGAAGGAAGCACTTGAGAACCATAAATGTGTTACTGCATAGAGATTAGATAGTTTCAGACTTTGATGGAGGGTCCTAAATGAATGTTGTGTCCCCAAAGGAAACTCCTCTCTTAGTCACATTCCTTAGCTTCATTCATAGCCAAGTTTTCATTCATATTCCAATGGTTTATTCTCTTTATCTTATCACGAAACTGGAATAGTCCCCAGCTCTCCTAACAGTTTACACTTTATTTTGGGATCATAAAAGCCAAAACTAGTGGGAATTTTCTTTGTTTACTTTGAGCTGTGACATGCATAAAGCATCTGTCTGTCACAAAGTTAATAATAAAAATAGTGCATTCCCAATAATAGAATTATTATTTAAGGGGAGGGTTCACACTGCAAAGGCACGGCTAATTGCTAGGCATAGGCATGCCTCCTGCCATGTGGGAATAGAGTCATATATAGATACAGTATGTACAGGTACATATACTACATATAGTATATTATATGTATATACTTATGTAGCAATAAAACGATTATAAATAGAGATTTATGATGATGGCTGTAAATATTTCAGTGGCATCGGCTGAACGCAACTGTTCATTAGAGGGCGTGAATTGACTTTGACTATGCGAAATTTTCCAAATTTTCAATTTCTGAATGTGAAATGCGAAATCGTTTTTGGCGGAACTGCAATGGGCGAAATCATTGTTTATTTGTGTGATGTAATGTGAGGCGGCGATGTACTACACAGGGGGAAAAACCATTCTCCATCCCCGCGGTTTTTTTTTTTTTGCTGCTGATGTCATTGGGATTTGGGATTGGGTCTGATTTGTCGGCACAGCTCAAGTGTCAATCACTGGGCGCCTGCCATCAATCAAATTAAAGATCAAAGGGTCTTAGCGAAAGGAGCCCTCAAGTGTAAGGATTTTCTCTGGAGTGGAATTTACGCATATTACGACAGCAACAAAAACCATGGAAGAGGAAACGCACGAGTGTTCAGTGAATCTGGCTGGGTGCTGGCTTGTGCTGATTAAACGAATTTGAAACTGAAAGAAAAATTTAGGTTCACTCCCAGCTAAGCCAACGGAGTCTCTCAGTCTTTAGGAACTTTCTCATTAAATGCTTACGAAATAAATAGTTATATTCCCACTCGAAGGGGACTCCAAGCAACACGTGGCCAAATTCTATCCCATCAGTGATAAGATATGCCGTTGATCCGAGCAGAGCGAAATACTTCTAATTGAAAAATCCAGCAAAACAATTCCGAATATGTAAATCGGAGCCCGCATAGGCATTAGTGGCATAGTCGTACTAGTGGCGGGAGCCCCAAGAGCCAGAGCACGGGTTGAATAAACCCACACCACAGCCATGAACTGGCCGCCAACGGTGGCAAACAGTAAGCTAATAGATTTACTCCATACACTGCGAGAAAAAGCAGCAAATAAATTAAAGAAATATACCATAGAAGGGACTCAAAGGGGGGAATGTATAAAATATCTGATTAATGTGCAGTGAGTCGGAAAACTTTCGCTAATTTTTTGGATTTGTTTTTGCTTGCGGCCATTTGGCTGAGCAGTGTAGAAATGCACTTACCGCAACATGAGCGTATATTTGCTGTTCTTGTTGTGCTTTTTGCGCGCCAAAATAACCAGAGCCAGCGAATTTCCGAACACCCCCAGGCCCATGACAATGAGGCTGAAGATCATACGGTTCCGATTCGCATAGAGACTCCTTGCTGGTGGCGGCGGTGCAGCAGTGGTGCTGGTGCTGCCTAACAGCAGCAGGTCCAGCAGCGGAGTGGTGCTTGGTGTCTCCCCAGACATGTCGTTTATCTCAATGTTTGTTTCGTTTGATAATTGCACTTGATTGCAATTCAGGTGAAAATGTGTCTTGCCACAGAGCCGAGCCGAGCCGCAACTTAAATTTTTTCACAAATGAGCCTGCCACAACATACACACACAGAAACACAGGAGGGGGGGAAACACAGCTGGAAACTCGTTTCGATAGCCAAATTGAAACTAAATTAAGTTTTTGCTAAAACACTGCCTCATTAGAGATTGGAGTGTGTGGCCTGGCACCGCGCGACACTTGGCCAAAATGCGTTTGATTAGCCGTCCGATGCACTGCCCGCTTCGATCCCAAATACGAGAATATGTTTACTATTCCGATTCCGTGGTTCCGAGTGCGTCTGCAGTCAGCCAGGCGTCGAATTAGAATGACTGTGCCGCAAAGCACTCGGCTCTGCCTGTGCCACTGCTGCCGGCTGCTGCTGGCTGCTGCTGAAAGCTGTATTGGATCGATGGGATGGGTGGGTGCTGGAGAAGGTTCCTTCATGCTATGCTGCTGCTGCGTCCGCTCAACAGTTGGCAAACACACTCGGCTCTGGATCGCATCGGCTGAGGCCGTGCGGGGCTCGTGCTTGGTGTTGCTCGGGCTGGCGCTCTAGGTGGCCCACCCCTCGGCCACCTCACTGACAGCGGGGAGCCACCCCATCGAAAATGCACAGCTCGTGCCAACGTCTATGGACGTGTGTGTACGGTCAAAATAGCAAGTCAAATTTTATTGCTTTACGCGAATACCCTACAGCATTCCCAAGCGTCATACTGGCCCTCTCATCGCCGAGCAGCCGTTTACAAAACGGACCCTTATCAAACACGTTCCACGTGAATCACTGGATCACTGTATTATACTCGGATGATATCTTTGTAAGCGCTGAAAGAGGGAATTTCCTTATGGATGATGCCACCCACACAACCAAATCTTAATAGAAATTTAATAGAAAGTACTCACCAAAGCAAACTGTCATTCGGTTAGGCAAATCATTTTGACTAGCTGCAGGAAAAGTTTATTATATTTAATTTCAATTTAATTTAATTTAATTTAGTACGAAATCTTCCAACCCCTCAATGAATATTTCAGATCCCAGCTTTAAAGAGAAAGAGCATTCAATTTGCGGTTCTGAGTGATGGAATTTCGCCATGCCGTACCTTCGTCGGTCCACTAAAATTAACAATTAAGATTTTTTCGATTTGTAATTTCTCGTGTAATTTTCTAGCGAACTTTATGGATTTCGGTGGCGCAAATAAATCCAATAAAAACAGCAAAATCCAATTGAAAATACGCTTCAAAATCAAATTGAGAGATTTAGCCAAGAATTAAATGGTGTAATATTCGATTTAAGATGAAAGTCTCCCGCATACTATTCGCATTTTTATCGAGAAATTATGCAATGCGGCGAACCAAAGCGGAAGCCCCAAATCGTCATATGGCCAATGCCAAGATCCATTCCGGGAAGATATGACGCCGCGTATGCGCAACTACAAACTTAATGGTGCATCGGGAGGGAGAGGCAGAGGCAGAGGCTGTAGATGGCTGTTTTCCGGGTCAACTGGAAAGATAGAATTAATGAGTCTGCGGGGTGTGGGATGCTGACGTCGTCCTGCCGGCGAATTGGTTCTCCACATCCCTCCATCCCACCCGCTTGGACATCATGCGGCTTGGACTATTTTTAGTTAATTGCGGGCAAGAGGCAACATCAAAACCGCAATGTTTTCCCTGAATTTTCTATCCCTTGATATCCTCGTTATCCTTCTCGTAAGCATTTGTTTGGTGTCTATTAATTGTGAGGCCCGAAATTGGATGCCGGGGGCGACAGCAGTCCATATATTTTGTCCCCTCCTGCGGCCTACGCTTTGGGTTCCGTTGAAACAAATAACAATTGCTGTTTGGTCGTCGGCCCAAGGGTTGACTGACCTCTAACCCCCAGGAGACTCACAGACAGAGTTCTGTGCGTTTTGCAAAATTAATTTAATAAATAATAACGTACTATTTGTGGGACTGAGACATAAAGCGGCTGATTAATGGGTCAGAACTGTGTGGTGCATGGCACTCTTGAGGGCGGTGGCATGAGGTCATGGATGATTTCTCTGATTCCGGGTATTCCTACTGCTCATTTTCTAATGCCTTTCGAGTGGGTGTCACAAGTTACGTTATTTGCCAATAAAGATAAGGTTATGTCAAGAGCAGAGCTACAGGAATCGGCTCTATACCTTGCTGTACATACATACATATATGATGTGTGTAAATGTTTACCGTGATAGTCATTAACAAACAAATCACAGAATAAACAAAAGATATAGTACACGATTTATCAACGAATATCAAATGCTCTCCATCCAGCCATCTATTGAAAATAAAAAGTATTAGCTGTCCCAATGGCAGAGATTGTGGGAGGAAAAGGGAGATCTATTTAAACAGTTCGAGCCTTCTCTTGTATAGTGAATTCCCATTTCGATTATTCCCTTTCTTTCAGCTTAGATATGGTAAGCCCCATGTGCAACACCTCCCCCTGATGACAATGCCCAATCTTAATGACTCATTGGCTGCCTTGTTGCTGCAATTAGAACTTGCAATTGATACGACTATATATACTTCTTGCGATGTGAAGCCATAGCCGAAATGAGTCCCAGGACGGAACGATTTGACGACGATGCACGTATTATTTGCAATAATTTTAAGGAAAATTTGAAAGGGTAAAGCTATTATAGATGTGCCATAGAAGCCTAAAAGGTTTAAGCTGAGCGGGTAGGTCTAGAGGAAACATCAAAATACATCTGTCCAAAAAATAGTTTTGGGAGCCAACAATGCCCAGAGGGAGCCAGTGAATATTCTGCGATGATGCAGTGAAGTCAATTTGTTTTCCAGAGTTCCAAAGTTCAATAAAAACTGCATTCTACAATTATTTTGCATGACAAACAGACAAGAACTGCCAATTGTATTAAGAAATCTGTCCCAGAGAAGACTGGAGACTTCTCTCCTCCGCGAGTGTTTTATGGGAGGCAGGCGCATACCAAAAAAATTGACTCTGTGGTTCGTCCATAGAATATTAAGTTGGGTTAACAATTAATAGAGCTGCCGCGGCGTCCGGAATTGACTGACAGAAAAGATTCGATTCGATTGATATTTCCAACACGCAGACGTAAATTGTGCGACGCGTGCAAGACCAAAATCCGAACAAAAATGGCAAAACCTAAAGATACGCAAAGCGAAAGACAAACAAAAACAAAAGGAGACAAAAACCAACCGAAATCCCAAAGGAATACAATGTAAATTCAGATTTAAATCGAAATCGAAATTGAATGCGACACAAATGCATGGTAAAATGTTTTGTTCTTTGCGCCTCACGACTCGAGGTGTATATATGTATGTATATTTATTCATGGGATGGGTGTACACTATACTACAGGTACGCACATATATAGATAGGTGTGTATATAATAATATTATATATGTATATATATTAGATTCGTTTATAGCTTTGGTGATCATCCACAAACGTTTTATGCACAGTTTTCTCTTGTTTGTGACAAGGATATCGTTGTTTTTGTTTTTCTTGGGTTTAGTTTAGGAAACTTTCTTCTCATTTATATAGGTTAGGTACTTCTTACTCCGTTACGGTATTCGGAATTCTATATTGCACTATATAGAGTCTATATATACTGCTCGAGCCGGGTGCACCCGAGGCAACTACTTAGTGAATAAACATTAAAAAAATATAAACTTGGACAAATATAAACATTTCACTAGCTCTTCCTCCTCTATCACCTTCTCTCCCTCTCTCTCTCGTTCTCTCTGTCACATACCACCCACCCACACACACTAGGCTGTGATGTGTGTGGTGCGGGGCGCATACAATCACAGCAGACAAAATTACCTACAAAACATATAGTAAACAAGTAAACTAAACAAAAATCGAACTAAAATTTGGCGTAGTTGCTTAATCTTTGTGTGGCTTTGCCGTTTTAGATGCGACTGCAGAAGTTGTAGAGCAGCAGCTTATCCTCGAAATGATAGACATTGTTGATGTGTCGCAGTACCCGGCCATCGACCAGATGCCGGGCATAGTGCACCGCCTCCATGCGGTCCTTGGAGAGGCCCACCTCGATGAGCCAGCTGACAAATTCGCTGCCATAGAACACCTTGCGGTAGACACGAATGCGCCACCTGTGGAAAAACACAGACAAACACAAGAATAGGTTAATAACTGTTCAACGATAGATGGGGCTAGATAAGTACTAGGATCAGTCCAAATATCAAATGAAATAGGCAGGGAAGGAGCACCAAACGAGAGTTGGATCTTACCTACTTTTCCAAATTAAAAATGTCCTACAAACATATCTTCCAACTGATTAATCCTATTGCTGCTCAAATCACTAATGCAGAAAGGGTTGCAAAAATAACATAAAACACATTTCTCTACCGATGCAATGTCCTAGATTGAAAGCTAGTCCTACATTTGTATTGTGTATCTAGCTACACGCTATGCTTAAATCGTGCCACAACAACTTACCTTCTGTCCTTGGCAATGTCCTTCTTGCAGTTCTCCAAATGATGATTGCGAAACTGTTCGCAAATGTGCTTTGTTTCGGGACGAACGTTCGACCAGTGCGGCAGGCTGACCACATTCGCTCCATACCTGTGTATCAAGCAAAAGCAGATGAAAATCTATTCCCAAGTGGGTTCCCCCCCATCCCGTAACTTACCATAACTTCCGCCAGAGCTTGACCACTGGCATGAGTAGCTCTCCCATGTCCGTTATGAACACGGCCAGGACAATCAGACCCTGACCGAAATTGAGGAAAGCGTCGAGGAAACTCAGCTCCAGATAGATGCCCGACATGCCCTCCATCACCAAAGTCCAAATGGACACGGCCAGGCCCACGAACATGGAACACAGCAGGGCAATCAGCAGGACGGTGTGCTTCAGCGTCTGATGCTCGTCTACGTCGCTTGTGTGCTCCAGCGGCTCGAGTCCTCGTCGTGTCTGGTCCTCATAGCGTTCGATAATCGTCTGACAGCTTTGACGCGAAGTGCTGGGGCCACAATTGAACGAACTGCTGCACATGTGATTGCGTATCCTGCAACGAAAGCCACACATTAAGTACTTTACATTGGGCACATAGAGTAGAGAGTATTATTTAACATACTCTTCTGTTGTGGCCGGTTCGGTTTCGATTTTGTCTAGATCTTTTGGATTAACGGCATTGCCACGCTGACGACTGCGGCTCAAAAGATCCTCAATGTCCACCACCACAGTGCTGGTTGTGGTTGGTGTAGTCACGGCACTGCCTCCGGAACAGCAATTGCCATTGCCCGAGCCACAGCCGCCACTGCCATTGGCTCTGTTCGCTGGCACTCCCGCGGCTGTGGGTATCATCTCATCATCGTCCGACGAGGACGAATAGGAAGTAGTGCGCAC